CAAGGAAGCTGGCTGTTGAGGAATTCAGTGTCACGTCTTACAGCTTTCAACGCCGTGCAGACGGACTCGATGTACGTCGCCCCGGTTGCCCCCGCTGTTTTGGAAACCGGGTCTATTGGGAGCTTTTCCTGTGTAGCCTCTCCCTCTGTGAATTCGGCGAAGCCGACAAGTTTGCGGGCCTCGTTCATTGCCGCCGAGCAGTCCACCCGCTTTGCCGTGTCTGCATACACACCCGTTCCGAACGTCTGCGATTTCAACTTGTGTTTTCCCTGTTTTCTGCATAACATAGATTTATAAACAAGGTTTCAGAAGGCTCACAGGCGTTGCCTGCATCTGCAGCTGCGTTTGCTCCGTTGGTGTCCAGCAAGAAAATGGTGGCGGTGGCCAAAGACAGGAACTTGAGACCAACCATTCTCGAGGTCTGGAGGCGTAGTTGTGAGCACGGGACGCCTAAAGTACTCTAAAACACATTTAAAATTTCAAATAAGGGAGGGACAGCACTCGAAATGTATCCTCAGCGGCGCAAGCGTAGGCGGTGGTGCATTTGCGGCGGTCTCGAAGCCTTGGCGCTTGGTACAAGGCCTCCTTCTGCACACAGCTGTTCCGCAATCCTCTCCAGGATACTATGCTCTTCAAGTACTATAATGTATTATATTTCAGTATTATATAATTGACAATTCATTTTCAATGAATTTCTGGAGTCATCCAGCCTTCGCGGCTCCCGACCCTGGGTGCCCAGCCGAGTTGGGCTGCTCCAACTCTTCACTTCTACGCCGCATCGGTTACTCTAGCAGCACTTATGGTGGTGATTTCCTATTTTGCTGTCGTATTTGCCTCATTAAAAAGGAGTTATATAGGTTTGGCCAAGGGTGTTTTCACCCGCAGCTGGGATAGCCCTCCCTCCCTTGAAACCCTGTCCTTCATGAACCGTAAGCATGCTATGCAGAGATGACAGAAACTTCGATTCTACGCCATCACATCTATATGCAATCACAGGACGGCATAACGATCCTCAACTTAAGTTGTTGGCTTGGTTTTCTA